TACACAGCAGAGTTAGAGGACCAGGTGTCTACACAGCAGTTAGAGGACCAGGTGTCTACACAGCAGAGTCAAAGGACCAGGTGTCTACACAGCAGGGTTAGAGGACCAGGTGTCTACACAGCAGAGTTAAAAGCCGAAACTCTAAGACAGCTACTCTGTTGCCAAATATGGCTCCTCACTGTGCTTTAAAAACAATAGTTGCTGGACTAACTGTAGCAGAAAATTAGGAATGACCTGAAGAAATGCTATTGAAGGAGCTGGGCATGGGTGGTCTCTACAGGTATCCTCAGATTTTTGGCAACCTAAGGCAGAAGGACAGCTTGAGCCCTGAAATTCAAGAGCAACCTGGCAACATAGGGAGATAAAGACGCAAGCAAAGGGCTCAACAAAAATGGAGCGGAGGTGAGAAAAAGCGGAAGATGAATGAATGAATGACCTGCAAGAAGAAGGGGTAGGGCCGGTGCAGAAAACCCGCGACACGGCCATCATGTGCGTGGTGATGCCGTTGGGTGTCACCGTGTGTGTCATGTGACGAGGGCTTTGTTCTGCTGGCTGCTTTCAGGAGTCACTGACACGGCAGGGACGAGGGTCAAGCACTCTTTCAACAGGAGACAGGAATGCATCTACACAGAGCAACAGGGGCTCCGACATCTGCACGCACACACATTGTTCTACAACTCCCTGAATCTTCTATAAACATAGAACTTTTTAAGCCTTTCCTTCCTTTGAATATAAAAAAGTAATTGACAGAGAAAACTTAGAAAACAGAAAAGAAACAACTATCTAACTACCTGTGAACCGAGTTCATAGGTTTGGAAACAACTGCAATGTACTGAAAAGGCACATTAATTTGAACACTAGAACAGTTGGTATAGTCAACTGATTCTGATACACAAGAGGAGTAGATTCTACTCTCCACCTAAAAATTCAGACTTGGAGCTTTATCTCAGAGATATCTTTTCAATTATAACTATTTCTGTTTGTACTGTATTAACTATGAATAACTGCTCACTGCTAACGATGTTAAGAGAGAAATTTCAAACAGAGGCTTACAGTTGTGGTAAATTTGGCCTAACAAAGGGATCGTTTTCTGCTCCATTGACTGCCTTGTTTTTCCTTTGTTTTGGTTCAGAATTGGTAGCAGGTGCCTGAGAATTATTAGCTGTGGGAGGTTTGCGTTTGGCTAGAAGTTTCCTTTGCCGTTCAATATCTTCCCTTTGCTGATTCACCCATTCTTGTTGCCTGTATAAAAATGAACAAACAAAACCATATTAATCTCCCATTACTTTCTGCAATTAAAAAATAAATTACATCACAAGAAACAATCACATAATTTAAATCTGTATCCTTTTGGTCCCATTATTTTAAAAAATTTTTAAAATATTTACTTAAATGTTTTATGTGATGAGTGGTTTGCTCATTTGATTTTTAGACAGGACCTCACTGTGTAGCCCAGGCTGGCCTGGAACTTGTGGAGATCCACCTGCCTCTGCCTCCCGAGTACTGGGAATAAAGGTGTGCGCCACCACCGCCAACAACAACTGAGTGTGTTGCCTGTATGTATGTATATATGCATGTGCATCACAAGTGTAACCACGCCTGTAGGTCAACTGAGGGTAATAGCTCCTCTGGAACTGGAGCGACAAAAGGCTTTGAGCCGTCACCTGCATGCTAGGAACCAAGCTCTGGCCCTGAGGTCCTCTGGGGGAGCAGCCAAGGGCTCTTAACAGCAGAGACATCATCTCTCTAGCCCGTTGTGTCCCACTCTGGTGAAGCAAAACAGCTTACAGGTCTCACTGCAGTCTTTAAGTGAGGGACGAGTGTGGAGCCACAGAGAAGCTCATGGTGCCTTGTCCTTACCAACAAATACCATTCCTAGAGATACTGCATCAGTATGAGTTTAGTTAGTTTGGTCAACTGTATCTTGACTATTAGGGAGGCATGCTGATCAAACCATACGTGTATTCACTAAGATTGTTACATTGTAAATGAGCTAAAAACAAAAAAAAAGCAAAACTAAGCCCCGTCTAATGAAAGTCTAGGGTAGACTTTAAACAAACATTTTATCATTCAGGATTAGTATTTCTAGATAAGCTTATAAGACAAGTGAAATTTTAATATGATGTACTACTCTCTTAAAAGAAATTATGGGAATGCAGTTGACATTCTGAAATAAAACAAAAGTTGACCTTAATGGAGGGAGGGGAGCTGAAAATATAAAGAAAAGAAACAGCATGAAAATTATTAATTTGAAATTTTTACCTATTACATTAATAAATACAAATTTATTAGCAGTTTCCATTGAAGACTCTAAAACAATTTTCCAAAGAGCTTAGGTTCTAAAAATTAACAGATATTATGTCTATTAGAGAATTATAAGCTGGTTGTAGACCTGTAATCTCAGTATGTGTGTGTGTCAGGGTAGGGGTTGCAAGTTCAAGAGCAATTTAAATTACAGAGCAAAATTTGCATCAAAAAGTTGGGGGAGCGCATGTGTGGAGGTCAGAAGAAAACTTTTGAGAGTCTGTTCCACTTCCACTGTGTGGGTCCCAAGAACAGAACTCAGGTCGTCAGGTGCAAGTGCCTTCACCTGATGAGCCATCTCTACAGTCAACAGAGGGACTTACGGTCAGTTCACTCATCCTACAACACAGAAAAGTTTATTCTGACAGTAACCATGCTCCTTTTGGGTCTCCTATCATGTCTACAAAGAAAATGCTATAGCTCTACATGGTCATGCTACTGAGATTTTAAAGCAAGCCAAACGTTTTGCCCCACCCCATCCTTCAAACAGGGAATCCAGAGCTCTGACTTTGTGGCTGAAGGATTGGTTTGCACACATTCCCTTTCTGTGGCCTGAGTGTAGGAGCAGAGCTGAAACAAGAGTGAAAGAATCAAGAACCAAGATAGAAATTCTCCAAGAATGCTATGTTAATTGTTTCCCTTTGGATGTAGGAGTAATCTAACGTGCTCTTACTTACTGAGAAGTAAACTGAGGGAGGGACAGGGACGCAGCACAGCAGTGGAGCACTTGTCCACTATGTGTGAGCCTTTCACTTAGATTCCCAGAACCCCAAACAAAAACAATCAGAAAATAAATTTTAAATGTATTTCAGAAGAGGCTGTAAGTACAAATAAATGGCCTAGTGGCAAGTAACATATTAATGGGACAGATATACAGTGGCTACCTGGTTATTCAGGGGTCACAACTGGTTCAGAGATTATTCATTAACAGGGCTAACTTTTCATTTATTCATATCTCTTCTCATTTTCTAACCACTTTGGGTTATTAACAATGAATGTGAACATCCTGTAACAACACACAGTAAGTCCTCAATCAGTGCTTATCAGTGATAGGATATGCAAATAATTTTGTTCTTTTATGAGAACATGTAACTATTGGTATAGTTTATCATATTTTATTTCTTAAATTATTTTTCCTTTATGTGTATGGGTGTTTTGCCCACATGTATGTATGTACACATGCATCCCAGATGTCAGCAGAGGTCAAAAGAGAACACTGGATGCCCTGGGACTGGAAACACAGATGATTGTGAACAACCATGTAAGTGCTGGGAATTGAACCTGGGTCCTCTAGAAGAGCATCCAGTGCTCTTCCACTGAGCCATCTCACCAGCCCCTAATACTTTAAACTATGTACATTACTGTAGGACAGTCAGGGCTGAGTGTAGTAGCAGAGATTCTTGCTCACAAAACAATAAAAATTATGGTTTTCATCTCAAATCCATTTCCTGATCTCTACTTTTGCATTCAGGATTTTAGCTCGAGTATAAACAATATCTATCCATCTTAACTGTCAAAATTTTATCTTCTTCCCAATATTATTTCTGTTTTATCATCAAGTTACTCAATATCTCAATTCTGGTCACATATGCTACATATTAACCTTTACCTAGCCACAGAATTAGACCTCAAATTCATTAGGTTTGCAGGGATTTCTTTCTATCTTCCATTGTGATAATCTAAGACCTAGCACGGCCGTCTCCAACAAAAGCTCAATAAACCTGTTGAGAGCCAGGGGGAAGACAAGGCCACTTTGTGGTCATGTGTTTGAAACAGCAATGCTAATGTGACATGCCGTGAACAGGCTGTGCTCCTGGAAAGGGGGCAGAGACATTGACACCCCCACACTCCAGGTTTTTACATCAAGATAAAACCCGAAAGACAGGATTATGGTCCTGGCTCCCAGACACACAAATAGCCAATGCACCCTTACCGATCATCCTGTGAACTTTAAAAAAAAAAAAAAAAAAGTGGGAACAATTTCTTTGTTTTAAAATTTACCAGTGAAATGCTAGTCATATGTTTAGTTCAACTAACATGTGAGTTGCTGTAGCCGAGGCAAGAGAAAAACTCCTTTCCTTAGGTACAGAGACCAGGCAGATCTTTAGGACTTCAGGAATGGGGAAACGAGACAAAAGGAGCAAGGTGGGCACCTGCGTCCCGGCACTCAGAAGGCCGAGGCAGGAAGGGTCAGCTACGTCCACGAGTCCAAGGCCACCTTGGGCAACACAAAGACCATTAAAATATAAATCCCAGGAGACAGAGGCCCACACTTTCCAGTCAGTATCAATTCTTTTTTTTTTTTTTTTTTTTTTGGGGGGGGGTAGTTTCGAGACAGGGTTTCTCTGTGTAGCTTTTAGTGCCTGTCCTGGATCTCGTTCTGTAGCCCAGGCTGTCCTCGAACTGAGAGATCCACCTGGCTCTGCCTCCCCAGTGCTGGGATTAAAATCGTGCGCCACCACCGCCTGGCTCAGTATCAAATTTTTAACCACCCTTTTTCCTATATTAGGAGTAATACACACACACACACACACACACACACACACACACACACACACACACACCATCACCAATAAAGTTAGGGGTTAGTTTTTATTCTGGAAAATCAAGTTTAGAGAAAATGAAGGCTGAGCAAGATGACTCAGTGAAGGGCTTGCTGGAGAGAAACATCGAGTCTCTGTAGAGAGACCCTATCTAAAAAGACAAGGTGAAAAGCATCCAAGAAGACATCTAATGTTGGCCTCTGACCCATACACAAAATGTTTGAAAAGCTTGTTTTTTTTTAAAAAGGAAAATACATTGTACTCTTTAGATGAAAGCTAATTATGTAAAAATTCTGTTAAATACTGTAGCTGAGTTATCTGTTTCTTATTCTTTTCATATGTGAATCTAAATAGTAAGGAGATGCTAAACATAATTCCAAATTTGTAATTCTTTACAGTAATAAAAATCCAAACTAGTAACTTTGAAAAGGCAGCAGTGGGGCTGGAGAGGGCTCAGGGCTCAGGAACACACATTACTCTTCCAAAGGACCAAAGTTCAATTCCCAGCATCCACAGCTGGTGGCTCAAAGCCGCCTATTACTTCAGCTCTGATGCCTCTGGTGTCCACAGGCCTCTACACACACACACACACACACACACACACACACACACACACACTTAAAAATAAATTTAAAAAAATGTAACCATTACTAACTTCACAAGATTTTGAAATGCAAAACCATCTGTCCATTGCTCAGTAAAAGAAGCGCCATGTCTAACTGTTGTGAAGTGCCCAAGGCGCAACCGATCCTGCATACTCTTCTCTCTGCTTGACAATTTTTCTTGTGTACTCTGAAAATGAGGGGAAAAATCAATTATATTCATTCAGATTTTACAAGCATGCAAGGCAAAGCAAGGTACTGAGGGAAAGGAAAATGTAGTGCTAACTCACCTTTTCAATAAGAAGTTTCTTGCTCATTGAAATACACTTATTTAATCGTTCTTTGTATTTTTCAAGTAATTTTTGTTGATCATCTATTTGCCGCCTGAGATCACAGTTGGCCTACAGCATGAGTAGAAAATGAAAGGTACAGAATCAGTATATATGAAAAATCTTAGTAATGCTTTCCGTGTTTTGAGTCAATTACACAGGTAAGATAAATACCGAGACTATTTACTATTAAACACTATAATTTAACTGCATAATAAAAAGTACAGAAAAATTATATACACATTCTAGACATTTACACGTATACTCTAAGGTATACAGTTGTGGCCTCATAATTTGAATCTAAGTTTAGTCCCGTCCCGTCATCCCCCACCCCCTTTTGTCATGACAGGGTTTCTTTGTGTAGCCTTGGCTGGAACTCACTCTATAGACCAGGCTGGCCTCAAACTCACAAAGATCTACATGCCTCTACCTTCTGAGTGCTGGGACTAAAGGCGTGTGCCACCACCACCCACCCAATTTCCTTATTTCTAAATGGAAGTAGTATAACCTCCTCAGCTAAAAATAAAATGTGGCATATCATGTGTGTAACACATTCGAGAGGGAATGAGAATTTCTTCTCTCACACTGCCTGATCTCTCACAACACTTTCTGCACTAAACAGGGACAATATTATTAATTTGTTGACCCAATTAACTATTTCCAGCATTCCTTGAATAGGATACCAATTCTGTTCACGCTGCATGCAGCTATATGCTCAAAGGGAGACCTCTCTCTAACTCCAGAGAGTCTGACTAGCCTGCCATTACAGGAAGGGAATTACTGGGGGGGTGGGGGGCTGCTCAGACACTCCACCTCCCAAATTTTCTCAATCAATAGGTCTGGAGAAGAGCCTGGGAATTTCACTTTCTCCAGCAATGCTGCTGTTACTACTGCTGGGTACAAAGATACACAGGTCTAGGCCAATCACACAGAAACTAAGAAACTAAACTAAAATGCTTATAAATTTTGGGAGAAAGTAATTGCCAACCTAAAGCTACATGCTCCATAAAACTGTATATCAAAGGCAACAAAATGAGATCTAGCACAAACAGATCTTCACTGTTAAAACAGTTCAAAAAAAGGCTCAACATGCTTTGAGAGTCAGTAGGGGTGTTTAACTTGAACTGACCTTAAAACTTCTTTAAGGCTGCTGGATAGCCAAAATGAAGGAAATGGTATTTGTTCAAGGCACACAGAGGGGTTTCTGTATACATACAGTTGTGGAGCTGTCTGAGACAGTCTTTCACTGGAAGTGTAGCTCAGGCTAGTTTTAAACTTAGGATCCTGCTGCCCTCCTCCTGCCCCCAGTGCTGATTATGGGCATACACCATGTATAGTGCATATCAAGATTTAATATAAAGCCATAGTAATTACAGTCACTCTAATCTCCTTCTTGTATAATAATAGAAAAAAATATGTTTTATTCTGGACTGGTATGTACCTAGCTAAATGAATACAATTGTTAGCTTCTCTTACAAAGAAATTTAAGTCAACTCAGTAGAATATTCAAGAAGGCTGCACACAGAATTGTGCTTTTTGTACTTCTACTCTCTGGTCTCTGCTTAGAACACAGTCACTGTGATGGTGACAATTTTTACTGTGGACCCAGAGGTAACCTTCAAGATGCAGTAAATCATGTACTGAAGACAGGCCGCAACCTGAAGGAGCCAAGTCCTCATCAAACTGTGGGGCAACTATCTAGGTGGCTGCTACTTCTGTACTTTCCAAAAGTACATTTCATTCTCATGTGAAGTACTGCAGTCTATGCTGGGACCAACAATGACAAGGACTAAACACTAAACCAGCATTTCAGGGGTGATTTCGTAATACACACAACAAAACAGAGATGCAGGCAGAAGGAGGTGCACTGCATTTGGAACTGAGACTTCAGGGTGGAGTCTGCAGTCTAAGAAGGAATTTTTAATTCATCTGGATAGCTGGTTATCAATATAGGAAGAAATTAAAATGAAAGCCTACTTCACATTATACCACAAACCAATTCTAGTGAGATCAACAACTGTACATTTTTTTTTACTTTAAAAAAATGTTTGAGATTATAATTACATTGCTCCCTTCCCTTTCCTTCCTCTAACCGTCCCTGCTCTCTTTGAAATTCATGGCCCCTTTTTTAATTGAAGAATATCTTCAGGCTCTTACAATTACTTCTTTTGGTATCTTTGATAATAATTTACTATACACAAAGTATAAACTATAAAACTAAGATATTTCATAATGTAAAAACATATATAATCATCAAAAGACAGCATGATGTAATGAAAAGACAAAAGTGGAAGAAGCCAACACACAAAAAACTAAAAACTGACAAAGGTCCTGGGTTTGATCTCCAGTCCCAGCGCACGCACGCACGCACTCACTCACTCACGCACGCACGCACGCACGCACGCACGCACGCACGCACACACGCACGCACACACTTGGGTGTGATGGCATTCATCTCTAACCCTAGCACTTGGGATGTAGAGGCAAAAGGTATCAGAAATTCAAGGGCAGCCTCAGCTAAGCTATGATGAGACACTGTATCTCTACTTAATTCACAGAAAACAAGACAAATAACTAATAATTATTTTTAAAAGATGTTTTAAAGAAGATGCCGGGCAGTGGTGGCGCACGCCTTTAATCCCAGCACTCGGGAGGCAGAGGTAGGTGGATCTCTGTGAGTTCAAGGCCAGCCTGGGCTAACAAGTGAGCTCCAGGAAAGGCACAAAGCTACACAGAGAAACCCTGTCTTGAAAAACCAAAAAAAAAAAAAAAAAAAAGATGCCGAACACCAATCAATAGATAAGGATGTGTAACAAAAGCACCCGACACCGCATTACACCTGTTCATCAGTGCCATGAGGAAGCATGGTGTTTGGGGAAATTCTGGTGTTCTAATGTACAAGATGTACAGCTCTGTACTCTCTCCTCCTGCCTTGTTTCCTCTGCTTACAACACAGGAATACCTTGCATTTGTCCTAGGAGACACGTATTGAGAATTTCTTAGCAGAATTCTTTGTATTAGAAAAATCACAAACTAGACACCAGCCAAAATCCTAAGAATCATGTAAATTACGGTCCACTTCCTGAGAGTCTTAGCGTAGAAGTTGGAAGGAAGGAACAAACCGGAGTGTTCGTTTGAGTCTATCAAATCACCCTACAAAGGCTCCTGTGTTAAAAGACTGGCTGACAGAGAGCTGATGGGGCCTTGAGGTGTCTGGATCATGAGAGCTTGTAACTCAAAGGATTGCCTAATACAGTGACGTTAAGAGTGGGTCCTCGCAGAGGAACTACATCCCTGGGAGGAGGGCTGGATTTGAATTACATGTCTAGTAACTGAACCCGCTTGTTTCTCTGCTTCCTGGCTGCCAGGAAGTAAGCAGCGGTGCTCTGTTAACAGGTACATCCTGCTTTGCCCTGGGTCCTCCCACCACAATGCTCCTGTCTTACTACAGCCCAGAAGTTGATACCAAGAGACCACAGACTAAAACTTACGAAAACTGTGAACCAAAAGAAATCTTCCTTTGCTGATCTGCTCAGGCATTTTGCCACAGCAATGAAAAGTAACATCTAGTTACGCTTATCAAGGTAGGTGTGAATAAACACATACACTGTTCAGTAAAAACAAAGAGAGCAGAGGATCCACATAGGATAATCTTAACAAACAACAAAGTGTTAAAAAGAATGTATACACAGTGGCTGGAAAGATGGCTCAGTCAGCAAAGTGCTTGCAAGTCCAAACAAATGAGTTTGATCCCCAGAACCCACGGTATGGGCTTGTAACCCCACTACTGCGGAGGAGAGACAGGATTCCTGGAGCTCAGTGGCCAGCCTGTCTAGTCTAACTGATGAGCTTCAGGCCAATGAGAGACCGTCTCAAAGGAGATGGACAACACACACACACACACACACACACACACACACACACACACACACACACACACACATATGTAACACAACTATAAAGAAACACAAAGGAAGAATAAACACATGTATCACTGATGCCAGAAGAGTGGTTAGCAGCAAGGGGTGTGACAGACAACGTTCCAAAGGTACAATGGCATCACAGATGTTGGTTTTGATGCCACTGGTTCTCAGTGCTGGTTTAAATCACAATAGTTGATAGAAGCTTTTTCAATTATCAACATCCAAGCTACATCACATCAATTAATCAGAACTCTACAAAGTAGAATTCAAAATTAGTACTTCCATATGGTGATTTTAATGAGTATCAAGGGACAAGAAATCCTGCTTTATGCCTTACTTACATTCTAAGTATTCTTTTTGGTGCATTTTAAAATTTTATTGTGTGTGTGAATGATGCATGTGTGTCTGAGGGTGTGAATGAACATGCCAGAGTGTTTGTGTGCAATTCATAACTTTGTGAAGTTAGTTCTCTCCTTCCACCTTTATGCAGGCCCTGGGAATCCAACTTAGGTCTCTAGGCTTGCACAGCAAGCACCCTCACCTGCTAAACCACTTGCCGAATAGCTGACATTTACTGACTGACATACTTGTAGTTTTATTTTGTGTGTATATGAGTGTCTTACCTGCATGTGTATCTGCACCACATGCATGAAGTGCCTAAGGAGGCCACAAGAGCACTTCAAATCCCCTGAACTGAAGCTACAGAGGGCTGTGAGCCACCATGTGGGTTCTGGGAACCCAGCCCAGGGACTCTGGGCAAGAACAGCCAGTGCTCTTATCCACTGAGCTAGTTCACCAGTCCCTGAATTTATTTTAAAAATAAAGTTTCCATTAAAAATTTCACAGGACTATGGCAGTAATTCCACCCTCAGTGGTATCAGATGTCAGGCAGAGTAAATGAGTATCTGACTGGTGGGTAGATGATTAAATAAAAGTTTATCAATCTACTTCTTTTTCTTTTTTTTCTTCCCCGAGACAGAGACAGGGTTTCTCTGTGTAACCCTAGCTGTCCTGCAACTAGCTCTATATGTAGACCAGGCTAGCCTTGAACTCACAGAGATCCACCTGCCTCTGCCTCCCAAATGCTGGGATTAAAGGCATGTGCTACCACCCAGCAAAAGTGGGTATTTTCAACATTTATTTTTATTTTAATTAGGAGTCTGTGTCTTTGTACACAGATGTGAAGGTGCTTATTAGAGGCTGACAGCTGAGCCATCTCTCCAGCCCCTAAAGTAGACTGTCAATCATATACTTATAGTACCAGAAAAAGCTTATTGTTTTAAAATACAGAACACATTGTCATATTCAGTATTTTCTCAATAGTTTTACTGTTGCCAAAATAAGTCACATAATTTCCCCTCCGTGACACATTACTTACCCTGAGCAAATCATCTATCCGACCCTCCTTCTTTTCCAGGTCCTGATTTTTATTACTTTCTAATGCTGCCAATTTCAGCATTGTAAGATCAGTCTAAATGAAAGAAAGCTACGTTATTATCTCTATCACATACACTACTACACATAAAAAAAATGTGAAGGCAGATTTTTACCAACTTCAAACAGCAAAGAAAAAAAGTCTGTGGTATGTAAGTAGCCATCTTAGTGTAGTTTTAAGCTTGGACTTCTAAAGAATAAATGCTGAAAACCTTGTGTACAATTGATTAAAGCTCATACACAAAGCTTTGCACTATACAAAGATCTAGCGATCCTTTCACTTTGTGAAGTCAGTTTTTAAACTGTTTCTGACAGGTAAAAACTGCCCATATTTATATGGTAGATGTATTTTGATCAAGCTGGCCTTGAACTCAGAGATCTGTCTCTCTCTGTCTTGGGAGTGCTGGGATTAAAGGCATGAAACACCACACACAACTCAAAGAAAGTTTGATACATGCAAAACTGTATATGACCCAGGAGTCTAATGAAAATACACTGTTGCAGAACCAAGGTGCCCAACTGACAGATTAACTCCTCAATTTCAAGTGTGAAAATAAACAAACATACAAACAGAGAGTATGGGCTAGGTGTACAGTTTAGTGGTAGAGCATCTGCTTTTTACTTGCACAGGGCCCCAAATTCAATCCTCTGCACTCAAAAGCAAAGCAAAAACAATAAAAACTACTCCAAAAACGTGTGATCTGTGTTCAAAATTCATGAAACTGAACGTTAATAGTAATGATAATGACATTAATATAATCAAAGTACTTTGATCTAAGTGATTTTTCTAAATGGTATAAACATACAGACATTGAAATGAACTTTATCATCACTTAAAATCAACACAACAGCATCATGAAGATATCTACTCCATATATATTCTTGGATATTAAATTCTAAACCAGTCAGTGAGCAAGACTGATGCATGGTGACTGTTCTGGCTATTTTACTGCCCGAGACGTTTGCTCAAGTATATAACCAAGAGCAAGCTAGTTCTAAGATAGATGCTTCAGTTCCTCTGTCCTGCACATTTTAGTTTAGTAAGTTAGCTCTTATGTTCAATCTTACTTTGAAATTATATCCAGAACAAACCATAAACATTTTAATTGTTAAAATAAACATGGTCTGAGCTCTCTAAAAGTCACAGGAGAATTTTAAAGCTCTCCTCACCTGAGTGATCTTAAAGGATAACTGCTTTGGTTGTAGAACAGGGTGGTCCCCGAAAGCTAATGCAGTAGGAGAAGGGCTATTCGGTCGGACCTGGAAAATATGGTAAAAATTTCTACCTTAGGTTAAAAACAACAACAACAACAAAAACCAAACACCAAAACCAACCCCCCCCCCCCGCGCCCCAAATAAAACCATTTCTACTCAGCAATAATTACATGACATTTCTAAAGAAGATTTTTATTTCTTTTTGTTTGTTTGTTTTCAAGTCAGGGTTTCTCTGTGTAGCTTTGCAGCCCTGGCTGTCCTGGAACTCACTTTGTAGACCAGGCTGGCCTTGAACTCTCAGAGCTCCGCCTGCCTCTGCCTCCCAAGTACTGGGGTTAAAGGTGCACGCCACCACCACCTGGCTGATTTTTATCTTTTAATACCTTTTTAAAACTTTTAATCAGGTGGGATGGGAAGGGGAGGCTGGAGGGACAGGAGGAGGGAAGAGGGAATCTTTGATTGGCGTGTAAGATGAATAAAAAAATTTTAATAAAAAAATTTTAATCATCATTTATTTATCCAACAAGCATTCTTGAGTACCTCCTGTATGAGGCCCAGTGTGAACAACCATACATTCCTTCACCAAAAGGGGCTACACTCAAGATCCATAAAACTTTAATGCTTTATAAACAAAGTATGGCCAAATCATTCTGAAACAAAAATATTAAATAGGTTATCCTGATTAAAAGAAGAAATCTAAAGAATCCTGTATAATAAAGCAACCTCTGAAGGCATCACCATCCCTGACCTCAAGCTCTACTATAGAGCTATAGTAATAAAAACAGCTTGGTACTGGTATAAAAACTGACATACAGACCAATGGAATCGTATTGAAGTCCCTGAATTAATCCATGCACATTTGAACACCTGGTTTTTGACAAAGGAGCCAAAACTATACAATGGAACAAAGAAAGTATCTTCAACAAATGGTGCTGGCATAACTGGATGTCAATATGTAAAAGATTACAAATAGATCCATATCTGTCACCATGCACAAAACTCAAGTCCAAGTGGATCAAAGACCTGAACATAAATCCAGTTACACTAGACTTAATAGAAGAGAAAGTAGGAAGTACTCTTGAACGCACTGGCACAGGAGACCACTTCCTAAATATAACACCAGCAGCACAGACCCTGAACACAACAATTAATAAATGGGACCTCTTGAAACTGAGAAGCTTTTGCAGGGCGAAAGACACGGTCAATAAGACAAAAAGACAGCCAACAGGATGGGAAAAGACCTTCACCAACCCCACATCTGACAGAGGATTGATCTCCACAGTATATAAAAAACTCAAGAAACTAGACATCAAAATACTGAACAGTCCAATTGAAAAATGGGCTAAAGAGCTAAACAGAGAATTCTCAAAAGAATCACAAATGGCTGAAAGACATTTAAAGAAATGCTCAGCATCCTTGGTCATCAGAGAAATGCAAATCAAAATGACTCTGAGATACCACCTTACACCTGTCGGAATGGCTATGATCAAAAACACCAATGAGTCATGTTGGAGAGGATGCAGAACAAAGACAGCATTCCTCCACTGTTGGTGGGAATGCAAACTTGTACAACCACTGTGGAAATCAGTATGGTGGTTTCTCAGAAAATTGGGAATCGATCTACCTCAAGACCAAGCCATACCAATCTTGGGCATATACCCAAGGAATGCTCAGTCATACCACAAAGATACATGTTCAACTATGTTCATAGCAGCACTATTTTGTAATAGGCACAACCTGGAAACAACCTAGATGCCCATCAACTGAAGAATGGATTAAGAAATGTGGTACATATACACAATGGAGTACTACTCAGCAGAGAAAAACAATGATAGCATGAAACTTGCAGGCAAATGGATGGAACTAGAAAATATCATCCTGAGTGAGGTAACCCAAACCCAGGAGGACAAACATGGTATGTACTCACTCATAAGTGGATTCTAGATATAAAGCAAAGAACAATTATACTGCAACCCACAGAACCAGGGAGGCTATATAGCAAGGGGGACCCTAGGATGACTGTGGCTTATAATAAGTTTTGGTTTTACTCAATTACTGGGCAAGCCTCAATGAAACATTTCACTATTAGGGTAAGAATTTATACTGTATCAAGTTGATAATAGAAAAATTAAAAACAAAAACAAAAATTACGTAAATAAATAAAATAAAAAATATTAAATAGGTTATCCTGACTAAAAGAAGAAATCACTGAGCATAGTAGCTCATGTCTTTAATCCTAGTACCTGGGTGGCAGAAACAGGTAGCTCTCTATAAGGCCCAGGATAAGCAAGGCTACAGTGAGACCCTCTCTTAAGGAAAGGAAGGCAGGCGGGCGAGAGAGGTAAGAGAAAAGAAAAGAAAGTGAGAGAGGTGGGGGGAGGGGATGAAACCCAGCATAAAAGCTTGAATACAGACTTTTTAATACTAGACCAGTAAGCCATGGCTGTAAGGACTCTGAAATCACATCTGTTAATGAGTTTCACAGTTATGTAGTGACTGTATCAATACTATCTCAGCTTTCAAAGTTCAGTCTTAAGCCTTCCTTTGCAAAGGGCAATGGTCCCCCAGGGAACAAAATGGGAAAGACAACTAAGTTCATCTGCAGACAGGGAGGAGAGGAGGAAAGGGAGAACAACAAAAGGGGCTTGAATAGGAAGAGCAAGGCTGGCTTTTACCAATTTATAATTCACCTTCAAATTACTGAAAGCCAACTTTATTTTTCTGGTTAAATAATCAACTGCCAAGTAAATGAAAAGTTAAATCTAAGATGCAAAGCAATGCACATAAAACTTTTGTCTTAAAATGTTAGAAACAAGTTTTAAAAGTTATAAGCTAATTTTAACATCTTTCTCCTATGCTGAACTGAACAGACATTTTCTTAAGAATTCCCCTAAATGATTCATGATTATTCTTAATTAATAACGAAGTTAAAAGGCAGACATTAATAACTGAATGCAGAGAGAGCTGCTACAGCACTTCCCTTAGCTCCCACAGGCTCTACAGAATTTTTCTTAGTAAAACAACACCACTGGATACATACAGACAATTTAGGAAAGCTTCGGCCTAAGAAACTCATTTTTTAGAATTCACTGAGACAGGGTCTCAAATAGCCCAGGACAGCCTCCAACTCCCTCTACAGCTGATGACATTGAATTTTTGTTTTTTAAATTGTATTTATTTAGCCAGGCGGTGGTGGTGCAGGTCTCTAATTCCAGCACTCAGGTGGCAGAGGCAGGTGGATCTCTGTGAGTTCGAGGCCAACCTGGGCTACAGAGTGAGTTCTAGAAAAGGCACCAAAGCTACACAGAGAAACCCTGTCTCAAAAAACCAAACTATATATACACATTTACTTATTTATTTATTTTATGTGTATGGATGTTTTGCCTGTCTGTATGTCTGTGTACCACATGAGTGCCTGGTACCTGTGGAGACCAGAAAGTGTTTCAGATTCCCTGGGACTAGAGTTACAGATGTTTGTAAGTCATTATGTGAGTGTTAGGAATCAAACCTGGGTCTTGTGGAAGAGCAGCCAGAGCGCTCTTAACTACTGAGCCATCTCTCCAGCTAATTTTGCTTCCATCTCTTTTAAGTGCTGGGATTACAGGCATGTAAAACAATGCCTGGCTAAGAAACTCACTTTCAAAATAAAAGTTCCAGAAGAATCAGATCATTAAAGAAGATTCAACTCCTGTCACTGAAGTGATTTCCCTTTTAAAACATAAATATGACTATATAAAAGTTAACAACAAAAACAGCACATTATAAGTTATTCAATATGCATAACCTCTAAACAAAGACAATGCACTACAACCTTGAATAGGAAAAACTTACAGATGAGGAAGGAGTGGAATGTGAGTGTGAGTTTTGCGGAGAACGGATTGCAGGAGGTATGCCTCTTACTGGACTGGAGCCATTTCCACCCTGGTACTGAGAAACAGAAATGGGGAAGCATAGTTACTATTTTAGACTTCTCACTAAGAAAGTAATTCAAATATACCTTATTTCATTTGTGGTACAGAGGAATGAACCAGGGCCTCACACAGATGGTCTGCATCCCTAGACCTAATTATACTTTGCTTCAGATAAAATCAAAGTCATTTAAATGGGTCCAGAAAAAGCATGAGCAAGGTCAGCTATATAAAACCTAAGTACATCATATAACAATGCCTACTACTTTGTCTTCTGACTATAATTTGTTATCGTGGTCCACTCAAAGACAAATCGCCCCCAAAATGAACATATTTGTGTGTTTGTTTTCCTCCAAAGCTTAACAGTTTTCCTATAAATTTTTCTTTAGAGGAAACCAGTAAGTCTCTAAAACCCCAAATTTTAAAAATTTACAGATGATTTAGTAAACACAACCATCTTAGAATCACTGTTCACAAACCTATTAAGATGTACAAATATTCACTGCAGTATATAAAATAATTATATAGGAAAACTCTTTTCCCTCTAACAACGAAACATCTTTACAAATCCCATTCTTATAGAGTGCATGCCCTCGTTACATACAGATGTCAACAATCTGCTCCACAGTGCTTTCCTCCTAGTTCATGCTCCTGTACCAAGACCAGAAGAATACATTTTACTGATGCTTGGTTCCTCTTAGTAGTTTATTGTCTACTTCATCTATTATTATTTTTATTATTTTGTTTTTTCGAGACAAGGTTTCTCTGGGTGACAGCCCTGACTTGTCCTGGAACTCATTCTGTAGATCAGGCTGGCCTTGAACTCACAGGGATCCACCTGCTTCTATCTCCTAAGTGCTGGGATTAAAGGCGTATATCAATGTTTAACTTAAGTTTGATATGAATGGCAGAAATGGGAACTGGCTAGTATGTTTACTAAACAACTTTCTACAACCCAAGAATTTTTTTTCATTGTCGTGATCTAATGCTGGGGTCCAGCCTCCGTTCTGATTCAGGTCCTTAGGCGGGGAAGAGGCATTGGTGCAAGGAACTTCTGACCACCAGGTGGACTGCACTCAAGTGGCCCTGAATAGCTGGGAGCCATCTTTCTTTATATTTTAACAGAATTTGTCCTACCAGGCTTACATGAACAGCTTTAATATTGGCTCCCATTTTTGACTTTGAAGAAATACATCATAATTGAAGAACTACATCATAATCATTATGAAAGCCCCATCGTTCCCCTTTATGCTTCCCCAAATACACCTTCCCACCCCTGCACAACCTTATCCTAGACACAGAGTTCAGCGTTTTTGCAGGCTTAACTAAATATCGGGACAGACACATCCTTCTCTGCAGCACTTACATCAGCTGGCAGCGACTGCGGTTACAAAGTTCAAAAGTAATAGACATGGGCACAATGCTTTAAGGACAACAATATTCAAACCCAGACAATTCTTTCATGTCTGTAAGATATGCTTTTATAAAGTTTTTCTACAAGAGGGTCCCATGTCTCAGTCTCTCTGTAAAAGGCAGGCTTTGATAAGGCACTCTTTTCTATTCCACTATACCATATTCTCCACCTGTGTATGGTATAGATGGATCTATCCATCTCACATCTTACATTACAGGTTTCCCCCTCGGTTCATACTAGATCCTATCATTGATTCTATATGCTTGGTGTCCAGGGAACTTCCTCTCAACAGTGGGCACCATGTGTATTCCTGGGGCTTCCCCCTGTTCTGTGTATGCATGCCTTACTCTCCTTTCCAGAACTGTGAGACATGGGTGATGTCCTAAGTGTTGTTTTCTCATATGTACCTAACTGTCTCCATTGAGTCAGAAAAGTTCCCAGGATTAGGAGTTGTAGTTAGTTAATTCCGGATAAGGGATTTGAAAAGTATTAGCTCCCTGCTGAAACTTAGGGGAAAATATTTGCGAGTGAGCAGAATTTCCAGCAACAATGACAGCCCCTGCAAGTGTGACTGACAAAGAATCACCAATACAATGAGAGAGAAAGAGCCTGCAAGCTGCACGAATTTTGCAAGTCCCTCCGCTGTCCTGTGGACTACTGGCTCTCTCCAAGTGAGAGTGCCTCAAAGAACCCTATGGACAGGTAGCATGCCCATGTGAGACTAGGCTGTACTTCTTATCATAAATCCATCACATAGTAGGCATTCTAGTAACTATTTTTATTTGAATTTATCTCTACCCTTGAGCAGAAGTTGTTTTTTTTTTTTTTTTTTTTTTTTTTTTTTTTTTGAGACAGGGTTTCTCTGTATAGCCCTGGCTGTCCTGGAACTAGCTCTGTAGACCAGGCTGGACTCAAACTCACAGAAATCCAACTGCCTCTGTCTCCGGAGTGCTGGGATTAGTGGCAAGTGCCACTATTGCCCAGCCCAGCACAAGTTCTTAATGATATTAACTGTGAGTGGCTCAAGTCAACTAAAGGACAGTGGATAATTTGGGGTTATAAACAGTTTTACACTGGATTCTGTAACTCCCCAAAAGCATCCTCTCTCTTACAAAAAAAAAAAAGCTTGGAGATTTTTTTTTTATGCTGTCTAAACTTAGCTGTTGTCCTAGTTAGCCAATTCTGCTCTCACTCTCAAGTGAAGACATTTTTTTCTACTGAAGAAGTAACATTTGTTGTTTTTAACAAGCAAATCAATATTTTCAACTAGAAATTGGAAACCAAAAGTATGTAGACGCAAGGAAATGGTCTAGATTAAGAAGGATTAAAAGCACAGCTGTGTTTTTCAGAGTCCCATCATCTCCATCACAGAGCTCAGTGTTGCCATCAGAGGGTAGTGTCCATGGTGAGATGGAGCAGTGAGACTGCAGGTCTACTGGGTTACTCCAATCCAGCCGGCCAGACAGGCGCTGCTTTCCTCTTGTCTTTAGTCCCTTATCTGCAAACAGAACACTAGCAGCTAACTTGACCTACAACATGGGCCGCTTAAGCAAGAAGGCGAAGTACTCTGAAACTTTAATATTCCCACAAAAGGAATATTACACAACACTACCATTCTTCTCAAAAGCCGACTCTGTATTTCTAAGAAATGATTTTCAACTTGTAGAAGAACTATGATGAATTAGGAACTGGAAATAACCCTCAATAAACTTACTTCAAAATAGTCACTAATCTTGTGGCCACGTCCCCCAATACTTTTTCCTAAAAAAAAAAAAGAAAAAATGTATAGATTTAAAAGGTAGTCATGATTATCTACCATTTATTACATCAAAAAGAGAAAAGTGACAAATTAAAACATATTTATTTAATTTAAAAGTGTGTGGCATTTTAGTAAAGTAAAACAGTAATAATCTTTAAACATTTATAAAATCTAATCAAACCACATTTTCATAGCTACATGCCAATTTCTGGAAGTCCCAATTACTGAAAAATAGACAAATAACATTAAGGATCTCCCGCTTCCTTCTCACCCAACCTCTCTCTCCCTTTTTCCTTTCCCTGGCTGGGGAATTAAACCCAGGGCTTCAGATATGCTAAGCATATGCTACCACCAAGCCACATGGCCACACCCTCAGCAAAAGGAACTTGGTCTTTAAAACATTATTAATATTTCTTACTATCTATTAATCTCAGAAAAGAAAATTAATAAACTGAAAAGGCAAGTGGTAAATTTATATCTGACAAATTAACACACACTTTGATGATGATGATGATGATGATGATGATGATGATGATGATGATAGTAATAAAAAAAACAGCTGTGGGTGATACAAACCCAAATCTAATCTGTTGGGTAGACAACAACATACTTACTGTCAATGTTATTTTGTAAAATGTTTTGACTTTCCTTTTCTTCAGTGTTCTTTTTTGAGTTAGGGTCTCACTACATTTTCTAAAATGTATTTGCTGTAACTTAACAGGATATTACATTTAAGAGTCTACACTTTAATAACTGTTCTTATGACTATATATATATATATATTAAGTTTTTTTCTACACAGGGTTTCTCTGTGTAGCTTTGGAGCCTTTCCTGGAACTCGTTCTGTAGACCAAGCTGGCCTCGAACTCACAGAGATCTGCCTGGCTCTGCCTCCTGAGTGCTGGGATTAAAGGCGTGTACCACCACCGCCCAGCTCTTATGACCATATTGATAAGCAGGGTCATCACAAGTCACCATTCCTTACATGTTCTGTCCTAAAATGCAGTCTCCATTAGTTTTAAAGAATTTATTATTAAGAAAGGTGGCATTTTCTCCCCCCCCCCCTTTTAGGAAGGAGGCATTCATTCTTAAATTTTAATTGTGGAGAATACATGATTTCTTCAAGCAGTAAATAGAAAATCTAGTGATTCAGCCAAAAGCTTTGCATATAGTATACATCAATTTCATTCTGCCTTCTTCTTATGTGCTCATTTAGTTTCCTTAACTCTTGTTGTTGTTGTTGTTATTTAATTTGTGTTTGGGCATGGCATGTGTGCCACCTGCACATCTGCCCCTTGACGGCTAGAGGACAACTTGTGGGAATCAGTTCTCTCCTTCTACTACGCTGTAACCCACAGAGCTATCTTATCAGTATAACAAACACAGCTTGAGTACTGGGCACTGTGAACAAACTCTGTGCTTAAGGTTCAACAGCCCTAAACAAAATTGAGAGGCTTTTTCTAAAATTAAATAAGGACCTGGGACAACAAATGTTATCCAGGAATTTTGGTCAACAGTTCCATACAATTTATTTAGAAGTCAGACTGGATTGCAGTGACTTCATCCCATGGAATGTTCTTTTTATCTCTGCTAACATCCCTGAAGACTAAAGAGGGACTACCTAATAATGAAGAAGGGATGTTTTGGGTTGCCTACTAAGAAGCTATTTCCCTAATTCTTTTTCTCTAATTGAACCCCAATTTTTATGTTCCATCCTCTCCACACATGTGACATCAAATTTCATGAGGAGCCTGCTCCTCTACAGCCCGACTCCCGTTTCTTCTTCCCTCATCTACCTCTCATTTTCATCAGGAGTCATTCCTCGAGTCCACTGTGACCGAGGAGACAAGTTACCCCACTACCAGTGTCAGACAGGCTGATTTCCTAAGAAACAGCACTTCTACTCTGTGTTAGTGGTCATGGAACGGAGACATAATGAACACAGTCATGAGGTGACAAGGTCGGTTTGCTTCTGGGCTTGAAGCTCACTTTAAGGGAAAGGTGGGGTGGGAAACACAAGCCAGTCTCATTCTAAAGTAAACATTCAGGGGCTGGGGATTTAGCTCAGTGGTAGAGCGCTTGCCTAGCAAGCGCAAGGCCCTGGGTTCAGCCCTCAGCTCCAGAAAAAGAAAAAGAAAAAAAGCAAACACTCAGTGAGGAAGAGATGAGGAGATACAATTAGGCAACCATTTCACCTAGAAAAAGACCAGGTATTTCTGTGGACAGCAGACCAGACAGATAGAAGGCCTGAGTTCTTTTTATTAAATGTATTTAGTGTTCGGGGGTGCGTGGGGTGGGGGTGGCAGACACAGTACACATGTGGAGGCTAGAGGTCAACTTACAAGAGTTGGTTCTCCTGTTCTACCGTGTGAGTCCCAAGGACTGAACTCAAGTTGTCAGGCTTGGTGGCAGGTGCCTTTAACACTGAGCCATCACACTGGCCCTTAAAACACACAAACTCTTTTTTTTTCTTTTTTCTTTTTGGTTTTTCGAGACAGGGTTCCTCTGTGTAGCTTTGCGCCTTACCTGGAACTCACTTGGTAGTCCAGGCTGGCCTCGAACTCACAGAGATCCGCCTGGCTCTGCCTCCTGAGTATTGGGATTAAAGGTGTGCGCCACCACCGCCAGGCAAAACACAAACTCTTAAAACAAGTTAGCTAAACCAGTTTGGAAGCCCCATCCTATTTGCGGTTTACTTTTAGGATCTTGTCAGTATGTTGCTGAAAGGAGTTAATGTGCCGTTCTAATGAAGTTACATGTCCCTAACCACAAGCTGGACGGCCTGCTCCAAAAAAGAAAGGGAGCAGCTGCGAAGTGAGATCAAGTACACTGGACACCTTCAAAAGGCCGAAGACGAAGCCCTTCCTCTTCCTTCCCAGACAACTGCTGCAAATCCACCCTGTGATTCCAGTGCTATATGGAAGCAGTAAGGCAGTTCGTTCATAAGTCTAGATTGTATGGCTAAAAACTGGCTCCAAAACATGCGTGAGACATGTATAAACCATCACTATACATTACACTGTACATCTTTTCAGGGCCCAAATTAAACAGCAGTACCAGTTTGTTATCTGTTAGAAGAGATCATGTTGTCTGGGCTTACTGTGATCACGTGGATTGATGTTCAGGCCCCAGAACTGACGGCTCCCAGCACCCACACAACAAGGCAGGCATCTTACACACAACTGTAACTCCCACTCCAAGCAGGCTGGGACAGGAGGATTACTGAGGCTTGCTGGTTTCCAGCCCAAGCAAGAAAAATAAACCCTGGTTCAAGGAGAGACCCCACTTCAAAGAAATAGGCAGAAAGTGATAGAGGAATCCTGATGCTCAACACTCTCTTCTGTACAAATGCACAAGCACACTCATTTGGAAACACCCATGCACATACACTTCACTCATACAGAGAGAATTTTTTAAAGAGATCATGTATAGTCCAATGAAAATAACTTTTTAAGTTTATATCATAAAAGGCAGATATAAAAGAAAGGATGTAATGAGCATAAAAAACAGGTAGTCTAATTATTCTTGTAATTATTTTCTTAATAAAGAGAATAGGTTGCTTGTTTTAAAGTGAAATATAAAGCTTGTATTTAAAAACAAGAAGCTATTTTAATATTGCAATTCACAAGAAAAAGGAAAAAATAAAAGGAGATAAAGAAATGCTTACCAGAGTCTAGGCCAAAGTAAACAACATGGAAATGTCAAAGCCCCCACAAAGGCCTGCAGGTTCACGCTTTTATTTCTATGCAAAGTACAGTGCTTAGCTATTATAAATGCAGAGAATACATAACAGATATAAAATATGCAAGCCACAAAGCCATGCATTCACCAGTTACAGCCCGACTGTTCAAGTCAGAGAACACACATAGGGTGGACGGTCTCTGAAGGAGGACGGCGTCTGCTTACCCTGGCTACTTTCACTCTGACTTTCTGCTTTTCTCTTTCTTCCCCTGGATGACTCAGATTGTTTCTTCTCTGGGGTCTAAGGAAAATAAGTTAACAACATTTTAAATTATGTTCTTAATACGCAAAATTATTACTGTCAATGTAAAAATCATCTTTACTTTTGAGGCCAAATAGAGCATTCAACAATGTTCACAGGATGCAAATGCAATCACTGACATGCAATTTATTTAGAAGATATAACTAAAGTTCACATTTATAGAATTTGGCTTCAGGGAAAATGATAAACCTGAGAATAATTAGCCCTTGAAATTCTTAAGTGAAGAAAAGAGGAAAATTAACTGTTTCCTGTTTTCTACTATTCATATATATTTAGTCTATAAAAAGTAAATTTCAATGAGAAAATAGGGACAAAACACAAACTGACATATTCACCCCAAACTAAGAGACCATTCACCTGTACGCTGGCAATTACTGTTCAAGAACAATTATAGTGAACACATATGCTCTAAACCAGTTGTGAGCAAAGTATGGCCAATAGGTCAACTCTGATCACGTGTTTTTGTGTCATGATCTTAGCGTGGCTTATACTCTTTTTTTTTTTTTTTAAAGACAGTCTTACTATGTAACCCAAGCAGAGATCCACCTGTCTCTATCTCTTGAGTGCTGGGATTAAAGACTTGCACCACCACTCCTGACTGTAACGTAAACATTCTATCTTCTCCCCACCTCACCCTCTCACTACAGGGTCTAGTGTGTAGCTATTACAAGACAAATGTATGAGTGACCACTTAATAACTCAGTCAAGGTTTGTACTACCAGTGCTATACATCAGGAATTCAAATCAAATTTAGTTGTGCAATCCTAAAGTCCAAATGGTCTTCACATGTTCTTTATTTGACATGCTACATGCCCTGAATCAAAACTAAATGAATCAACTACAAGATATTTCTAAACGTTACTACACATCTACCCATCATACATTGTCTGTTAAGTTTTCTTAGCATCTTTATGAAGAATTTTAACCCTGTATTAAAATAAACGCAAGTTCCCCAATAATAATTTATTCATATTTCTCCCAACAATCTATGCCAACAAATATATATGGGGGGGGGTGCTCACTATGTAACCTTGGTTGGCCTGGAACTTGCTATGTAGACCAGACTGGCCTTGAACTTACAGTGATCCTCCTGCCTCTGCCTCTTGGGTGCTGGGATTAAAGGTATGGGCCACCTCACCCAGCCTATAACAAATGTATCTAACACCTAAGAAAATAAGATTTTTCAGAGTAAGTTCACATCACACTGAATTAAAGCACACCAAGATCCTATGAATTCTATCTTTAGATTTTGACTAAACAAACAAAAAATCATAAAATTTAATTTTGAAAGTAATACTAGAATCAGCAATTTTTTAGTTAGAAAATATGTTCTAAATGGTTCACTCCAAGGAACAATGGTTTAGACAGGCTGAGAACGCTACATTTCAATTGGGGGCTGAGGAGAAAGGAGTATTCACCTGAGGCAAACCATTTCTTTAGTTGCAAACCATTAAAATGTTAACACTCCATCTATCACCAAAGGGCTGGGGGTGGGGTGATATATTATGTACAAATTCTCAAGCATATTTGGGAAAATATTCACTACACAGTTTACTCAGTAAGAATTTTAGAATATTCAAGATCGTTTTGAAAGACACATAAAGTAGTACTTATAAAGGCTTTCTCCCCATCCCTCCAAACACAATTCTCAGCAGGGGGAAATGAACTATACCTCTGGGGAAAGGTCACTTCATTTAAAGGAGGTTGAGTAGTGAAGTCATGATCACAGGAAGGAAGAACCACGAGGTGTATCTCAAATGAGAGGGACTTAGAGGACTGACAAGGGAAGGAGAAATGAAAACCAGACACGTCCAGAAGACATTTCCACTGTGATGTACAGGAGAGGGGAAACAGTGGTAAGATTCGGAAGACAGAGACTGGGAACCCAGGTACACACTGAGGTTAGCTCGTACAGTGAACATCGCTACTGGATGCAGATCTTCTGTCCTGGGATGCCCTAAAGCTTCTCCCTTGTGCAAATCTTTCACTTTGTGGACATACTTGAAGTTGTATGGAATGGAGTGTCCTAACAGACCAGGTACCATGGGTTTCTGAATAAACCCTTGATCCATTATGTACTATAATCACTGTTGTGTTACACCAGGAACCAATTTTCTTATCAATCTAAAATGCAATACCACCAGCATCACAGGAATGTGGGGACTAGATAAGGAACACACTTGGAACACGGTACTTGTAGTATGCTTAGCACACAATGATGTCAAAACACAATCAATTCTTTTATGTCAATGACTACCCTATTAATCATCCCATGTCCATGCACTTTATGTTTCAAAACTTAAATTATGTGTCATAATGTAAAAGGATTAGCACCTTCTGCTCTAATAAGAATGCAAGTAATTGGGTATAGGGTGTGCAATACATTTTCTATTTATGGACACACTTAAGTAAGAGTGTGTGTGTGTGTGTGTGTGTGTGTGTATAAGACACAGAACATAGTTTAGGCGACCAGCAACCCTAATGCAAATATGAGTGGAATAGTTTGTTGAGTTTAAATTTAAATAATGTGAGCAATATTGGTATTAAACAAAACAACAATACACAATCAAGTCTACCATTGCCAATTCTGAGTCATTCATTTGTACACAGGCCTGTTTGAGGATTTTGAATTTGGGAGGAACATGTGCAGAAACCCAGCCAGTATTTAATCACTGCAGTGGCTCATCACTGACAAAGGTCAGAACCTATCTGCAGTTTTCAAACTGCTCCGGATGCCTGCAGAGAATAGGTTGTGTTCTAGAAATTACGAAAGCAGACATAAACAGCTGAGCTAAGGCTCTAGCTTACAGAGATACAACCTGTACCACTGGTACCCACAACTGCAGACACAGCACCTTATTTTAATATATTACAATTCCCCTTTGAAGAGCAGACTGTGACTTTAAAAACTACTCGTTACACCAATGGTTTCCTTGAAGCAATCTAAAGACATCAATGACACCACCTGTGTATTTACACAAGGTGTAAAATTTGCCTAGATCAAATCCTTTCTACAGAACTTTCCCAGTGTTTATTGCCCTTCCCTAATATGCTGCCATTTCTCTTGTCTGCTCTACCTTTACGAATGAACTCTGTAGCTGACCTCAGGAAGGATGACCAGGGAAGGCAAAGCTGGACTGTTGTAGTGAGGTGAAAATAATGCATGGTCATAAAGGCCAAGAACAACACACGGTAGAAGAGTGGTCGGGAGAAAACTGAAGGAACGACCAGCACTAGTCAACCATTAGCTTTACAAATGCCAAGTTTGAGACACACTACTCTGGCATTTAATGTTCCAAGACATTTGAACTCATAAGGCATAAATTTACAAAGTATTTTCTAGCAGTTGAAAATTTGCTTGAAAACAAAGGTGAATTTTAAAGCACTCTAGAGGTGATATAATTAAGTTAAAGCTGTACTTTCATTTAAAACTTTGGTGTTTATTAAACAAAGTTTTTATAGTTAATCACGTGGCTTCTTGGTTTATGCTAAAATACAAAACTGTCTTTCTTCAATGCAAATAAAGTTTAAGGCAAGAAAACAGAATCCTAGTGCTGTGGCAAAATGAGAGGCCTAAATCATTATGGATTATTTCTACAAGCCTCAGGTGAGAGCATGAAGTTTTTGCATAAATGCATCCACAGAGAGCTACAGTCATCAATGGAGAGGGAGTAGGTACCGCACACTGCTCTTACTATTTAGCTCGAGTTCACAAAACCTAACTAGGCATGGAACACATCAGATAATACTTTAATAAAATCACTAATCCCTAACAGGGCTGGTTATATTTAATTTCTTTCCAACTAAATCTTTAAGAAATTAGAAACACTTTAAAACACAAAGAAAAGTTATACTAAGTATCTTTAGTGAAATATTCATTGAGCCAATGACTGATCTTAAAAGTACAATTCACTGCCTGTCTGAATGATTTATACCCCAAACACCAAATTCAAGGATGGCTACTATAACGTGAATAAATACCATGACACATTTTTGCCTACAGCTGCTAAGAATAGTGTTCAATCTTTGTTTTTGGATTTTAGTTTATGTGTATGGGTGTTTTGCCTGCATGTATGTATGTGCACCATGTACATTCCTAGTATCTGCAAAGGTCACAAGATTGAAAGATCATTGTAAACTACTGTACAGATACTGGGAACTGAACTTGGGTCCTCCATGAGAGCAACAAGGGCTCTTAACTACTAAGCCATCCAGCACCCAGTGTTCAATTGTTAACTACATATCTTGGCAAAGTTTAACTTTTTTTTTTTTTTAAAGATTATTTATTTATTATGTGTACAATGTTCTGCCTGCATGTATGACTGCAGGCCAGAAGAGGGCACCAGATCTCATTACAGATGGTTGTGAGCCACCATGTGGGTACTGGGAATTGAACTCAGAACCTCTCTCTGGAAGAGCAGCCAGTGCTCTTAACCCCTGAGCCATCTCTCCAGCCCCAAGTTTAACTTGTTTAATGAGTAAGGATAACAATGGAGAAATCTTTGTTACTTGATGGTATATATCAAAACCTCAAACCTTACAAAAATAGTCAATGCAAATTAATGCCCCCTCCCTAAGAATGTCAAATGTGTAAAATATTGTTTTCAGGGCTGGAGAAATTGCTCAGTTGTTAAGTATGGTGACATTTTAGTTGTGCTGAAATGTGATTTTATTTGTATGTTAATAAATAAAAGTGCCTGGGGGACAGAGCTAATAGCAAACCATTTAGCAGAAGTCTGGCACTGGTAGCACACGCCCTTAATTCTGATCACATGATAGGCAGATCTCTGTGTGTTCAAGGACACCACCAGCATGGAGACACATGCCTTTAATCTCAATACCAACCACAGAAGACCTGGAGATTTGTACAGACAGGCAGTGATGAGGAGGTCATGTGGTTGGGTTTAAAAGCAATGAGAAGGCAGAACAGAAAGTCAGTAAAAAGACAGACACACAGGAAGTAGGTCTCTTTCTCAGGG